TTAAAGTTTGGTAATAAGTAAATACGTTCGACTTTGCTTAAATATTTAATGTAAGGAAATCCAAGGCATAACAAGGTAGAAGTGATTTCGACATTTCTATATTTTGAACTGCGACTGTAATGTCAACTCTTAACCCTATACAATTCAAAATTTTAATTTTTTAATTTCAATTTTAAATTTTGAGCTGTGCGACTGATTTTAAATACATACATACAAAAATAAAATGAAAAAGAATTACGAGCGGTGCGCTCTGTGTGGCAAGAGCCAGGACAATAAACTTGTGCGTTATTTTAAACCTCCTAATTGTCAAGTGAAGCGAAAACGGTGGGAAAATAGCTGCGGTGTTCCATTAGGAGGCTCTTCGCGTGTGTGCGAACACCATTTTAGTGCCAGTGACTATTTGTTGCCCATCATAGTGGAGTATTTCCAAGCGGACGCGTTTGTTCCCAGGTGAAGTACCTCTACCATACAATTCCTCACTGCTTGAGTTATCTGAAGTGTCGGCCGTTCCTGAGGTGTCTGTGGGGCGAAGTTAGCTGTTGATGCACAGACCCAAACTGAGTAAGTCTGCCATATACAAGCACGATCCACGAGTACATTAACATATACATATAACCAAATGCTCCGCGAAAAAAAAAAAAAAAACTTTCATTTCATAGATATTGAATTTTATCAAATATGGTACATGCATAACAAAGGGTTAATTTCTTTGCTTACGTTTTTTGACATTACTGTCAGGTATGAGAGAGCTCGACTGAATTGTCACTTCTACCTTGTTGAATATGCCTTGAGGAAACCAAGATGAAGCGGAGCAAAACTTTTGAACGGTGCGCTGCATGCAATAGAAGTCAGGACACGAAAATAGTGCGATGTTTTAAACCACCTAGTTGCGAGTTAAGACGGCAGCGATGTGGTGTTGTACTACGTGATTCATCTCGCGTTTGTGAAAACCACTTCAAGGAAAGTGATTTCATTTGTTGTCCATCCGAGCCAAGCACTTTCAAACGATCTCGTTTATACCCAAACCATTTCGCATGAAAAACATTTTATTTCAAAATTGTTAGAGTTAAGCTCTCATATAAAATTCGAAAAAAATGTAAAATCATACTTTTATAAGTGTCGAATAATGTTTGGGAAAAAATTTATATATAAAAATAAACGCACAAAAGCATAAAACTTGGGCAATTAAAAACGCGAAAATTGCTAAAACGATTTAATAAACAATTTGTTTTATTTTATTGACAAAATATATATATTCCAGGTAATGTAAGTAAAACAAAACTATAATCAAAATAAAAGCCTTGGTATCAGTGCTGACAAGATACATGCATTACAAATTAGGTGCAATCCCGTATTCCTCGGACTCGGACTAGTAAAACTGTCAAAAAAATAAAAATTCGCTCAGAGCGAGAGAGTAACATGGAAAAGTACGGCATCGTTTTCTTGTAAAAAATGGTAACTTCTGTCAACTTCAACATAACCTCAAAATTTTGGTTGTAAATTTTTGCTTATTTTGTACGTAAACGCACTCAGCTCACACATGTAAATAACCAAAAATACTTTCAAATTTATTAGAATCCACTTAAACAAGTAATTAAATACTTTTCAACATGAATTAGCAGAGGGCACTTTTTTGTTTACAATTTGGTTGCCAAACACACTAAAGCTGATCGTTTGACACATTTACCAGAATTTACCAGCAAAAAATTCTCGGACTAAAACTGGTAACTTCTGACAGAGAGAGAACCGTATTTACTCTCTTTTTTGTCCTCTCAATAGTCAGAGAACCGAGTATGGGATCGATTTCCAGTAAAATCTGACTGATTCTGACTAGTCCGGACTCGTACGGGATCGCAACTATTGTAAGATTCACTGTCATTTTCCCCAACGAAAAACGTTTGCTTTTCGTTTGTGACAATTGTACCATAGGGTACGTTTTATATGTATGCAAACGTTTCAATTACGTGAAAAATATTTTTTTCTGTAAATTTTCATATCCAATTCAATTAAAAAACATTTTTATTTTTGTTCATTGCAGCCATTCGATTTGTATTTAGTTATTGCATATATGTATGCACATACATACATACATATATTTTTTTCTGCACGATTCATTTCGTTTGTTGTTTCGTCTGTAACTACTAAACTACTGTAGTGTATTATGTATCGCCAAAGTGAACTCAGCCGTTTTGTTTTCGTATTGTACCGAACTGTTGAAGTAATAAACGAAACGAAATAGTAACGTACAATATAGTTTATTTTCGTACACAGTTACAGTAAATTAATTTACAGTTACACAGTTACAGACACACAGTTACAGACACACAGTTACAGTTAATTAATTTTCTATTGTGTAGATCAGTGGAATCTGCTTTTTATGTTTACTTAAATTTTTATACAAAAAACGGATTTCAGCACTACCAGACTACTTTTTCTACTACCTTTTCACAAAAGGGAATACAATTATTACCCGCTTTCACTTTGATGGATCGCGCACGTATGCTGCATATTCAGTATTTATCGCGTCAGTATTTGTATAATTTTTGTGCCGAACGCTTATTATGGCGCAAGAAAATATTTTTATTTTGTACGTATAATTTACAGATAATGCATTCCACAATTTTTTTTTTAATTTCCAATGTTAACTCAAATTTTTTTCAATTTGTTTTGAAAGGTTTTAAGCGCAGAGAGCGAAGGCAGAGCGATCACTTGTTCGATGTTCGCATTATGAGATCAAAAGATGTACTGACGAAATTTATGGATCGCGTTTTAAAAATGCTACACGTTCAATATTTATTGACGGAATTGCGATCAGCGATCCAGATTTCAAAATTTTTAGGGCCCTGTCACACGGTCAGTATTTATTGACATGATTCAAGTATACCCGGACAAGAAGATCCATTAATTTGGTGGAATCATAGACGGCAGCTGTGGTGTAGCCATTAACAGTGCGCGCTAACATTACGCAGGGCCTGGGTCAAGCCCGGTTCAACCCAACACAACTAAAAAACAAAAAAAAAGTTTTTTTCTAGTAACGGTCGCCATCCGCCTGGCAATGGCAATTTCTGCCGTGAAAACAGCTTCTCATAAAAATACAATCACCGTTCGGAGTCGGCGTAAAGCTGTAGGTCCCTGCCCTTGTGCGACAACATTAATGCGCACGCCACAAATCGGAGAACAAGCCCGGCCAAACACTAAGTAATGCGTAAGCAGCAATGTGTTATTCCAAAATAATGATTATTTCAAAATTTTAAATGTGAATCTTTTACGATTTCAAAAAGTTTGAGCGATATCTATAAAAATTATAACTAAGAATTATATTTAAATTTTTAATAAATCGCTCAAAAAAAAATCATATATCGAGTTATATTTTATTTTATCAAAAATAAAACTAATTTTTCGAGTGGTATTTTTTGCTCTGAAATAATGATTATTTTGTGAGTTGTTATCTTCTTGATCAAAAGTAATAATTATTTTATGAGTTTAATTTTTTTGATCAGAGCTAATCATTATCTTTTTTTGATTTTTTAAATCAAAAATAATAATTATTCTTTGAGTTTTATTATTTTGTTCGAAAATAAAACCATTTCTTGAGCGTTATTTTTTCTCTCAGAAATAAAAGTTAACTTTTGAGTTTTATTTTTTTTGTTTGGCAGATCGAAAAACTCAAAGCGCCTCACTTCACCTAAACTCAACTCACCACACCTCGATTCACCTCACCTCTACTCATCTCAACTCACTTCTACTCATCTCAACTCACCCTAAATCACCACAACTCAACTCAACTACCTTACCTCAAGTCACCTCAACTCACATCTTCTCAGTTTAGCGAAGCAAATCACAAATAAATTTTATTTCTGAACTGATCAGCGCATATTTGCAAGCAGAGCACTGAAAAAAAATATACATTATACGCAAACTGATTCGCTGTTAGCGTCGCACACATACATATGTGTTTAAATTTGTACGAGTATATGTACATACCGGGATGTTAGGAATATTTGCATTTTAAACCCTCGCTTCAACATTCGCATTTTTAGCGAATGTGTATATGATATTGTTGAATTGGCTCTAACTCTGCCTAACCCGGATGGTGACAATAATCGGCGTTTAGCTTTAGGTGCCAAATGTTGAGTAGTGCAACAAGCAACATTGGTGAGCCTTCAACAATACTCAACACTCAACATTTTCTTTGAGTACACCGTTCTTGAGTGTACTTTAACAGAATTAGAGCCAAATGGTCAATTTGAAACTGAATAACTCTATAATACACTGTATATATATAGTCGGTCAAGTTCAGCAGGTGGTGTATTCTCATTACCAAAACAGTCGGTTTTACATGTTCAACTTTTTTCCGACAATGGACTGTTCTTTACCGATCTAATCTTGTTAACATCGGCCAACCCCATAAACGGGCCTCTTCTGCATTGCCAACAAAAATTTTGCTACCGGTATTAAAGTTCCTGTTAATTTTTAAACCTTAAACAATGTTAAGATACGAAGATACCAGATGTTAAGACGCTACGAATGGTAGGTGGAGTCGGCGCGTAAACTCTTTTGTATTACAGCCAGTAAGGAATTAGTTTTCCATTTGACTGAAATAAATAAATATGTAATATTAAAAATTGCAAATTTTGAGTTAATTAATTTTTGAAAGGGAAGAAAATATGTAGTTATACATAACCCGTGAACATGTACATAACTGCTAACAGGGTTTCGTGGACTATTGCCCTACTTTTGTGCGAAGTATTAGTTTTCAATTGAGGAAAATACATTTAATCTTTTGAGAATTACTATATTTAAATATTTATTTAATTTATCTCATTTCTGCCTCAAATCTACATTTACATATACATTATAATATTTTAAGTTCATGAATTACTAATTCTGTTCTGCTTTTGGGTTTTTATTCACTTCTTTGTTTAATATTTTCTTTATTTTTTTTTTGTTTTGAATCATTGCTTACACATTTATGAATTTATATTTGCTTAGTTACGAACTTTTTATTTAAAATTGTTGTTGGGACTTTTATTTTCAATGCAATAGGTGTTGTTATATGGATAATTTGCAACAAAATTAGCAAAAAGACAAATATGAAAAGGTTTCTGTTATCTCTAAAAACTTGTCTACACTTTAAATGTTCTCTTTCTTGTAATTTATTTGTATATTTTGTGGTTCCTTTTTGCTGCATTTCTCCATTAGCATTTACAATACATTTAATCGTTTTTGTATGTTTGCCTGATTTTTTTCGTCCATTCTTTTATGTAAATACACAAGGGATTAAATACTTTAAATTTTATTTTTTATACTTTTTATATTTTTTTAAGTTTTGTATCTTTTATTTTTATTACTGGTTTTGTCTGTTTCGCTTTACATCAAGTAAATCTACAAAACATAACTAAAAACGAACTTACAGTAAAATGCGGTGAGAAGGAAATGAAAGTAGGAAAGATATTCTTTAAAAATATAACTAGATTAAAGTAGTCTGAAGAAAGGGAAACTTAACGCTTAGCAGAAGAGAAGGAAATTTATATTTTTCAAATATAAACATGAAAACTTTCACTACACACATGCAAGAAAAATCGCATGAATATAAAATACATAATTAATTTATATTTTTACAATATAAAATAAGAAATATCGTTCTAAGAATAGATATAGAAAATCATAACTAGGAAATTTATAAGCAAACATAAGAAAATCAATTCTGTCGAAAGGAACACATTTCGAAAAATGTTTTGTTTTGCTATTTGTTTCCCTCTTATGTGGTAGTATTTGTAACGTTTTAAAAACTGGAAATTTTATTATACTTGTTTACTTTTTACGGCTATTTTAAGTATTAATTGTTTTTGCATGTTTTTGTATTTTTTTTTTCTTTTGTAGAGTGCATACGGTTGTACGTATGTATGTATATATAAAGTTTCGCATCAGTGTGATCCATAAATATACATACATTTTTATATGCCACTTAAAATTACTTTAATAAAATATTTAAAACTTATTGATTAAGTTTTCGTCACCCCATCGCGCGAGCTAAGCACTTTCACGCCCAAGCGCTTAGTCACTCTCCTCCTCTTCTTCCTCATCGGATGTATCTTTCTTCTTTGTCTTCTTGATGGGCTTCGCGGCGGGCTTGCCTTTTCGCTTCTTGGCAGCACCAGTATCTGTACCACCGTTAGCCTCATACTCTTTGACGGCCTTGTTGTACTCTTCCTTCATTTTAATGGCTTTCTGTTCCCATTCCTGTTTGTGGCGGAAAAGAAGGAGTAATGAAATTCTATTAGTGTTGTTTAAATTTTTAACTATTTTAGGGCTGCGAATGTGTGCGCATACATATATGTATGTACATATAAAAAGAAAATATTTAGTTTTGTTTGTTTTGTCGGGTCCATAGATGTTATGCAATGGAATCAGGCCATTATCAAACCATGACACCACTACACCGGACCCTTTTAATGTGATTACTCGCGAGAATCAGATATGGGAGCGCAGCTGAGCGTGGTGATTCGCAAGCTGCGCTTGTTTTTGGAATTCCTTTTTTTTTGAGATTTTTTTATTATTTTTTTTAAATATTTTTTTTGTTTTTTTTTTTATTTTTTTGCTGTTTTTTTTTGGATTTTTTGTCTTCTTGTTTTTACACACCTTTGTCGATCATTTGTCACTCATTTTGATTTTTTTTTGGCTTTTTTTTGTGTTTTATATATTTTTTTTTAATTTTACATTGACTTGTTATATGTTAATACAGCTTTTGTTAGCGCAAAAGCATTCTCGACTTCCCATTTGACGGGAGACCACACACGTTGATCGCGCCAGGACCTTTGTGTGTTTTCACCCCGCCTCATGGTTCATCATCGCTATACTCGTGGGTCTTAGTGGATCCAAAAGTTTACCTCAAGTACTGTGCGGGAAGCAACTGCTTCCCGCAACAGTACTTCGTTACTGGACATAAAGGGCACTGCGCGTCTCGTAGTGCTACCCCAATGGCTATACTGATCTTGAGTGTCTCCTCAACATTTTTAGACTGATGGTTTCTACGCATTTAATGTTCTGTAGGAAACCGCTTGTTTCCCACACAAGCACCACATTGACTCTGCATTAAGTGCTCTGCTCACACTTTTTGCTGTTCTCTGCTACAATTAGCATTTTCTCGGCATTTACTGCTTTTTTCTCTGCATTAAGTGCTCTCCTAACACTTTTTGCTGTACTCTGCTACAATTAGCATTTGCTCGGCATTTACGTCTGATAAGGCCCCTCCTTGGTGGGAGCGGTGCCTCACGGCTACTTTGCACCTTTTTCTGAACTTTGCTCATATCATTTGGCGATCATTAAGATTTTTTAAGTCTTCTGTTAAACGGCTCAATAACTCTGAACATTTATTCGGCATTCGTACCTTTTTTGAAAATCGATATTTTCTCTGCTCTACGTTTCGAAAACAGGCTGTGACTGTATTTAAAAGCCTTTGCTTTTAAGTGCATTTGTGCTTCTTACGGGTTTTGGTCTACTCTTACTCATTCCTAAAATGATTTGCACTGATATTGATACATGCGATCCTATCTGTCCCTTGTTCCTTATATCTTTCCATATCTAAATTAGGTCCTCAGAGTCCTCTGACTCGTCTCCTAAAACGATTCTCTGTGATATTACTGCAAAGGCCCCCCCTAAACCGATGCTTCCGTGTAATTCATCTAATCCGAGTTAGGTCCTTAGAGTTCTTGCCTCATGCCCTAAATAGATTTCGTCTGATACCAAGGACTGGGCGATCTTTATCGCAACCTCATTATATCTACCTCATCTCAATTAGGTGCCTAAGAGTTTCCATTTAAGCCCAGAATCTGCATTCTCTTGTTGGACAATGGCCCTGTGCCTTGCCCTTACAAGTGAACTCCTCGCGGCTCCTTCGAATACAACGAGTTTGTCACCGTGGAGACCATTGTCTCTTTGTTCCGTACCTCATTGTATTGAGGGAGTTCTCCATTGGCCAATTAGCTGAAATATGCAAGACAAATGCAGTGTCAACGCCTGTTCAGTTGGTCGGAAAACCAATTGGCAGACGTAAGACTCCTTCATCCGCCTTCATGTCCTGCTCGCTGGCGCAACTTTCGCCGAACCACTGCAGTTAAATGAAACAAAGCGTATATCGTGTCAGTGCTCGTCCGAATGGATTTCCTTGCCTACACAAGAAAAGCCATTTGGCTTGCGTAGACTCCAAATATTCGCCTGCACGTTTCGCGCAATGATTCGGGGTGTAATTGCAAAGCAATATGCGAGACCATTGATACTCTGCCATGTCACAATTACATACGCGTCGGGCCAAACGGCAAATGCAGAATGACTCGCAGGCACGGTTTGCAAAAGTAAAATACTCAGATAACCGAGTCCGTGCATATTTCCCTGCATTTTCAGGTGGTACAACGCTCAAATGACAACAGTGTTCCTATCGCCACCAAGCCGTTGCTGTACCTGTTGCCCAGCCTATTAGCGTTGAGTTATGCACTCTATGCCAACAGGCTGGTGTGGATTTTAGTCGCCTCTTACGACAGGCATGCCTTACCGCGGGTATATTCTAACCCCCTAACCCGCTGGGGGTATCAGCAAGAGGGCAAGGAAATTAACATTTAATTGAAAATATACTACTTACAGATTTGTCTTTCATTGCACGCCATAATTCGCCACCACGCTTAGCGATGTCTGTGACCTTGCTGCCAGGGTTGTCTTTCTTGATTTGCTCACGGGTCTCATTGAGCCACAGCATGTAGGCTGAGAGAGGGCGTTTTGGACGTTCACCGGCCATATTTGATATTCGTTAGATTTAAGATTAATTAAGTTGACAAATGAGTGATGCTTCCAATGAACTATTTTAGCTCAGCTAATGTTCTTTAATTTTCAACTGAAATAAAAGAAAAGAGTTGATTAACTTAGGCATATTTTTGAAATGGAGTGGGAAATTTAAAATCACTATGTTAGGTATGTTGTATATTTTCCACAGCCAAAACGGAAGTTTAACTAGAACGTATAAATATCTCGTTATACGGTATAACGGTACCAAACTGAAGGACAGCACAGAAAAAAATCATAAAAGCAATCAGAACTACCCAGATTAAGATCTGGAAGAAGGCTGTCACTCTAGCAGCATTCCCCAAGAACCCTGGAAAATTGTAATGCTGTCAGAATATTGACAAAACAAAAAATGTAGTTTAAAAATGAGTACACAAACGGCAAAATCCCTCAAAATCCCCCCGCTGGTTCCGGTACTGCATAGTGCAGTGTTTTAAGCTAGTAGTCAAAGTTCAAAAGGGGCACATATTTCAAAAAAAAAAAAAAAAAATACTTTCAGTTTAGTTTTCCTCATGATACAAAAACGAAGGTAGTTTCAATAAACAACCTTTTGATTAAAAATCAGATTTTTGACATTGCTATGAAAAATTCGAAGCGGCGTTACCCAATTGTAAGTTTTTTGGTGTGGAAGATTTTATATCCTAAATTTGGGATTATAAATAAAATAGTTGTATTAATATTTACTTTAAAAAAAATAATCGCCCCTATTCCGATTGTCGGAACGACAGTCGTTCGTCGAAATTTGAGATTTTCATTGGCGTTATGAGGTAACCAATGACATAATCTACTAAAAAATTTGATTCCTATTATCATTTCGAAATGAAGAAGTATTGAAAACGTATTAAAATCTGTCGTTAATGTTTTTATTTACGACATAATTCAACGAACGACTGTCGATCCGAACGACTTGCGACAACCAGAATAGGGGTGAATATATTATCTTAAAAACGTTTAAATTTTACATTAAATTAGATAACAACTTGCCAAATCATTATTTTAATATTAATACAATTTTAGTGAACATATTTTAAAATTTTTTTAGTGTCCTCATTTCATCTCATTATTTCACAATGTAGTTTTCTATATCGGATACGATGATTCTGATATAATTCAGACACTGAAATTACACATTCCTATGTGCTATTTAATACATATTGTCTTTGCCCATTTAATAGCAAATGGAATTTACTTTGAGACCCATGGGCCGTGAAATTTTTCAAGCAACACATAATGTTTTCACATGAAATTTTTACACACTCAAAAGTGAAGTATAAAATAAATAGATAAAATCAAATTTTCAATCAAACTTATTTGTATAGTTCAGGGTCGTCTTTTGGTAAATGTTTTAGAGGCTGTTATAATATATCCTATCTTATTATATATTTCTTAGCTTTTCTACATTCTGAGAAGTTGAGAGAATGAAGTCTAATATTCTTTTTTGGTCAACTACGACATTTGATTTCATTTTTTGCAATCATAAGTTGATTTCGCTTGAGGAGTCACAGTGCCCATACCGGCTGTACCGATTTTTTTTTTTAAATTTCGGACACACATTTTCCAAGATCGGTTATAGGCTAAAACAAAACCGATATCTAAAGGGAGTGTGGAACCTCCCATACAAATCGAATTTTTCATAGTGCATATCTCTGCAAGTATTTGTGGCAGAGTACTGGAACTTGGTATGGATATGTATGAAGTCAATCTCCAGCTCATGGAAAAATATGGGTTTATTGGAAAATACAGCGTGCCACCGTAGAACTTGGAATAGAGGTAAATAAAATCAATCCCAAACCAATGAAAAATGGGGGTATATGAAAACGATCTCGTAGCCAGCTACGAGGGCTAGCAGTATAAGCCATATAAACTAAATTTCTGGTGACGCATAAATACCTCTGAAAGCATTTACCTGGAATACTGAGATGAGACATGTTTTCGCCGCTACTGAATTCTATAAACTGTCAGCTTTCACACAATTTAAAATGTACATGTTTATTTAAAAATGTCATGTAAATTGTGTTGCTAGCTTCATGTTGCAAAAATGTTGCAAGCTTTTCACAGCGTGAACAGAATACTACTTTGCTGAGGAAATGTTGTGGAATTTCACACTTATTTCACAGAAAGAAATTTTATATGTAATTTAACAGCTTTTTCACGTGAAACAGGAATAAAATATTATGCTTAAGAACCAAGATTTTTAAATCGACAAAAAAATAATAAGAATATTTGAAGGATTTTAGATATTGGTAATGGTAGCACAAAATGTCACAATCTGCTTAATTGTCCGGTTTTTAATATGGCGACGAAAAAGTGACAATGGAACTACCTTGTTTTTTGTATCATGGTTTTCCTCCAATCGAGAGGATTTTCACCGTGATAAGCTCGATTTTCTTTAAGATAGGCCTTCAATTTAATTTCACATTTTTTAATGTCTCCAGATTCTATGTATATCCGAGCCTTCGCTTTTACTGGAGGAATCTAAAATTATTTCTAGGTCGCTTATAAGACTTTTAGCAGTACTTGTTGAAGGCCCATCAATTTGCTTGATATATACTTAACGGTTTAGAGCCTGAAGCCCATGTACACATTCGCATTCGCAAAACATTCGTATCATTTGATGCGAATGCGAATCATTCGCATAATGAAGCGAACGCAAATATTCGCAAAATCCCTGGTATGTATGTACGTGAGTATCTATGTGCAATGTCATATTTTAAAATTTTGTGTATGCCTACCGTGTCTATGTTTGAATTGAATATGTATATAATACATACATATATCTGCAAACAGGTAAACTGATTGCAACCGTAATCCATCAATGTATGCACATAGATACATGTGCACACATACATTTGTTCATACATACGTATGTATATTGGTGCATACAAATTTACATATGTAGATATAATTAATCTACAATTCATTTGGCTTGGCATTTCAAGCAATTGCCAATTGGAGATCGGAGGAGATACAAAAACGGTAAAAGCTATACTTCCATAAGTATGTATGTGAAAGTTAAGTTTTGCATACCTACATACATACTTTTAATTATAAATATAAAATTTATTGCATGTATATATGTTAAGTAAGTATGCATGTCAAAGTATTAATCATCATCAGCAGCATCCGGTCCGCTTACGACAATTTACACCCAATAATATTTTTTTTTTTTATATTATTTTCCCCAAGTTTTTAATACAATATTCATAGGAATTTTAAAAACTTTAGCCGATTTCGTTTCTACCAAAAAATGCAACCTTGCCTTTGCCCTCTATGAACAAACAATAAGAAGAGGGCGATTAGAATGCACAATTTTTTGTAGAAACGAAATCGCCATTACCTATCGTTGGAAAAATAATTGTGCTCAGCGTGCATTTTTTGTGAAAGGCCCAAGAGTTAGAGGAAGGATTTTAGCTCCTTTTCTGTTAATATTTCTTGCAGGGTTTATTTGTAGGTACATACATATGTATGTGATTTTATGGATGCAAATATGTACCTATTTACATATATATATATATATGTGTGCGTAAGTCCATATAAAAGCGTATACATATGTGGTCATTGAACTGAATAATTATTACATTTAACTGGAATAATCAGCACCATCTTCCTACGTACATATATGTGTATGTATGTATGTATGGATTGTGAATATATGCTTGTGAATTGGAGTACTTGTACATATAAAGTTGCCCCATTAACTAGAGAATTACATACTATTTTGCAGTAGTTCAGAGACAGTTCTGAAATTTGTAGGGCGGAACTAGCGCTTTGCCAGACTGTCCCTAAATTTTGCGGCAGGGTACATATGCACCTATGTACATACATACATGTCCCACTAACATGTGAGCAGCGATTCCCAAACATTTAGTCAAAATCTGTGACCGACACATAAATTTGTATTTATCACTACATACATATGTACATATGTATGTGCTATACATACTTATATATCCATATATGTATGTATATACATATGTATGCAAGTGCTTACATTCATACATATATTCATATATATAGGTTACATACATATTTAGATATTTTTATATCTCCAAATTACTGCTTTCTATTACTTCAGCATACTTCGAATGGCCACTTAAAGTTATCGGATCCATATTTCAGCTCTTTTGGTGTCCCTTTTCCCAAACACGACAATATCTACACATTAGCACATTTTTATGCCGCGTTGCAAAATGAAGTCAGCAGAGAATAAAATTATACTGTAATCAACATGTATGTGTATGTATACATACCCTTCAGCAATTCAGACTCACCCTAGGTTAGCCCTCAGATAGTCCCTATTGTTACCAGCACTAGTCCCTCATAATTCCCCTGCCAATGGTTTCAACTGCCATTTTTAGCACTGGCGTGTCATTGGAAAAGGACCGGTCCAATCAACACTGACCCTAAGATAGCCCCGGACTAGTCCAATTTTGGAGATTTTTTTCGTTGGAGTTAGATTGCGTTCTGCACTTCGCAGATGCTTTTTCATAATTCGGAAACACAAAAAAAAAAAATTTATCATTTTATAACCATGTTGCTTCTGACGGCATTTGAACCCGGACCCTCCTGAAAGTTAACAAATAGTGGCAAGCATTTCTGCACACTGAGCGACAGCCACGCATGTAAATGTGTGTTTAAATGTTCACTTTGCATGAAGGCCAGACCAAGCGATTGGGACATTTACAGGGTGGTGTTCTTTAAATTTTTTTTATTGAATTGCAAGACAACACCACCCTGTCACCTCCAAACTGTACTTTTCGTCTATCTCTAGGCCGGTTCCTTGGGGACTGGTTGAAGGCTGACATTTTCGATGCAAGCAAATGCCCAATTCTGACCAGTCAAATTTTAACCAATGAAGTACTAGTCCTTTACGGAAAATTGGCCGCCTCATTGCTGCAGGGTACATACATACATATGTTCACAATACATTAACACGAATACAACAAACATACGCTGCCAGTAGCAAGAAATTATCATGAATAGCAACCAGAAACAAGTCAAATATAGCACATAAAAACGAATGCACACGCACACACATACATCCATATAAAT